CTCTAATTTCAAATGCTGTTTTGCATCAGTGACTACATATATGGTACAAAAATAATGGTGGTAAGTCAAGCTGGTCCAGTTCTGCAGCCCTCAAGCACAGCCACATATAATTGAGTAGATTATTTGCATTTAGCTCCATTTTGAATAAAAATGCCTACCTACTTTGTAAACAGTTAAAGTTCTAATGTTAGGGAGTGTACGAGAGGCCCAGCACTGTCACTATCAGTACTTCACATGTTTCTACAAAGGTTAATGACAGTTGCTGTAACTAGAGACTTCTGCTATGCAACTGTTGCTAGAAAGAACACAGGTTCTCCAGAGACTCCTTTGGATTAGCTCTGAAGAAACTGGAATGCTTTTTCAAACTTGTAATTTTCCTGTTCTCCCTACGGTATTTATCTTGATCCCCATCCATTCCTCCAGTACAAACTTAGATCCTTTCTCATTTCCTGGAGACAGCTTCTTTACAGCTCTGCTGATACCTACTGTGCCCTGTAATTTATTGTCTTTGCATGTCAGGAGAGCATGGCAACAGAAATCCTTACTGCAGTTAAATATTGGCAGAATACACGGTATGGCTTATTCCTTTACAAAGTCTCAAAACCTTTATGATTTGAAGGGTTGTTAGTGTCTTAAATGTTTTTTTGTGCCCTTAGAAAACCTTTATCTCACATTAGAGTAACGCAGGAGGTGTTGCTGGTTACTGCTTTTATACAGAGCTAAGCCCCAGTGCAGACTGCAATGCTTTCCCCTGCATTGAGTAACAGTCTACATAACGAAAGGTGCTTTTAAGGTAGATAGGACTACTTGTAGACTATAGAGTATTTAGCATTGGTTCATGGTAATTCTCTTTCAAAGGTTGAGCGTGGTCACTGGTCTTTTCCGCAATGCAAACTGTAAGAAATTGTAATTGTGGCCTTTTTACATGTCTTGGTGTCATGTATATTTGAGTTTTAGGTTGACAAAATACAGTATGACGCTTAAACTTTATGAAGTAGATGGCTTTTTGTGCACACTACTGTGAAATTGGAGTGGAAGTTGTGACTTGGTGAACTTAGAAGTTGTAGTTATGACTTAAAAAGAACAAAGAAACAAAACACCCACTCCAATATGGACATTTTCTGATATTTAATCTCTCTGCTTCAGGATCCCCTGCTCTTGGGGTCATCGTATCCCTGGTTGTGACTGTCCAGCCTCTTTGGGGAGCAGGTTTAGCTGTCAAAAAGTGATCAGTGCAGCTTGCCATCGTTTCTTAGCTATGTTTACTGTCAGGAAGATCAATACTATATAACTTCCTTTGCTTCCCCTTGCCTGGTACCAGATTGATTTGTACTGCATTGTCATTATGCAGGTGTTTCTTCCTTGACAAGCTGCAGGAGAAACTTCCCAGAGATCAGGCCAATGATAGTATGGAGGTGGATGAAAAGGATGATATTGGTGACCAAATGGAAGCGGATCAACAGGGTGAAGACATTTCCTCAATGATTAGAAGCTGCAAATTTAACATGAAAATGAAGATGATAGAAAGTGCCAGGAAACAGGTGACTGTGCTATCTGATAGCTCCCAATTTTTTGAGAAAATCCTTAGAAATTACATCTGGAAAAGCCTCATAGGTCATCCTGGCCACCTTCTGCTAGTGCAGAACTCCTCGCTGCTTGACTCTGCTGTCCAGGATGTTCTGAATGCTGGAATGTGGAAGTCCATTCCACAGAAAAAGAAAACAATAGATAAATGTTAATTAAAAACTTGATGATAATTTGTCATTACTGGACGTGTGCCTGAAGGCCCCTTTGATCTGCAGATGGTTTCTGAAACTCTCTAGGGCAAAAAAGTAAAGCATCTGAAATGCTACAGTCATTAATGGAAGGAAGGCTTGCAACCAAACATTGTGCTTTCGCGTTTACAAACAATCTCTTCTATATAAGAACACAAATCAAATTCAAATTGAATCACTATCATTTACTTCAATCGGCAATAACAAAACATTTTTTTTTCTTTTTCCATTACAGTTGTCATTACAGTGTCATGATTATATATTAAGGCTAATATTTGTATAAAGAAGTAAAGCTAAAGATTGATAAAATGACTGAAACATAGTCATCTGTGATGATGGACCTTCGGTGTTTCTAGCTTAAACAAGACCAATAAGCCAGGGTCTCCCTGGTCTTCTAACATCCTGCAAAAATTTGGAATCCTTGATAAAGATCATTATTAACACTAATAGCCAAATATAACATTAACGCTGTGTAGACTATAGACACTTAAAGGGCTGGGGCAAAATTCATGCTACTTATATGCACCTTGTTCACACACACACACACACACACACACACACACACTGCATAGGTGATTTGCCAAATGGTTTTATAAACCAAGTTATGTTGCCCACGTGTGTTTGTATTGCAGAACAGTTAGTGCCTGTTTAATCGTACAAATAGCATTATTTTACTTTCCTCAGTTTGTCAGACCTCTGTTCTTCTTTTTACTTTTTCAAATGTCTCCATTAGCACAAATCTGTTTTTGAATATGAAACCCAAAAAGCAGTGGGTCTCTTCTCATCTAGCAGGTTCTCTTATTATTCTTTTGTTACCTAAATCCTTCTATCCCTTAATTTAGTTGCAGAAAGATTTTATTTTCTCTTCAGATACATTATCTGAGAATTCTGTCTTAATCTGTTAATACAGAACAGCTTCTCTGTTGCCAAGAAACTTCTGAAATACCTACACAGAGAGGCCAAAACCAGAGAAGACTGGCTGGTGAGGTGGAATTACGCCTATTGCCGCTTTACCCACAGTTGCAGCCGGAATCAGAGTTGTCCTGAACAAGTGTGCTCAGTGCTAAAAACTATCTCCTTGCTTGGTAACGATCTTTTTCTGTGCTTCACTTTGTTTATTATATGAAGCTGCTTTGTTGTCAAATTACCAGCTTGCTTTTTGAATTCCAACAGAAGATACCAAATCTGACTACCTAAGCAAGAAAGTAACGGCCTTCCGAAACCAGAATCTTCTTCTGGGTACCACTTACCGCATCATGGCCGATGCCCTTAGTCACGATCCAAGATGCCTTGAGCAAATCGAGGAAGAAAAAGCTAGAAAAGTATCAGTACTGTCGGGAGAGAGTCTTGAGAGTCCTGAAAAGGTAAATGAGAAGAAAAAAGAGCTTTTAGGTATTTCGGTGTTGTAATCACTACTTTAATAGGTAGTGATGGATAGAGACAGATAAAGCGAATGTGAAGTCTATCTGCTGTTAGCTAGTGTTCCTGGAGAAATCAATGATATGAAACAAAGCTGTGGCTCTGACTGCTGTTTGTCTGGTTTTTGCTCTCCTGGAGTTCTGCACTGCTCTAGTCTTTTTACTGAGAAAATGTACTTGTGTTTCTCTGTTCCTGTATTTTGTGTGGAGGAGAAAGCGGTATACTCAGACCACGTGCGTGCACAGTGGCAAGACAAGGCTTGGGAATACAGTCCACGGAGAGTGCTTTTAATTCAGCTAGGCATTTCTGAAGTTATTTGTACTGTTAATTTATCTTATCCCATAAAGAGATCTTTATAATACTCATATTGATAATGATACTGATATACTTAATTTATCTAAATAGTTCTATTAATAGGGAGGAGAGGGTTTTAAAACACAGCATGTGCAGGTCATCTTTGCCTTTTCTGGGGATGTGTGCAGCTGAAGAATACTTTGGCAGACTGCGCTGCATCTGAAATTGTGTGTACTGTCAGTTGTTCCAGATGTCCTGGCACTGACGTTTTGTCTGTCATATTGATTTGAGTGAGAATTTAAAGTAAATGACTGAGTTACTGCTATTAATTCCTAAAGCCCCCATCAAGACCCTGAGATATGAACCATATCAGTATAAAACAGCAAAAAAAAAATTCTTCATTTGATTTTGTGTATGTTAAAGAAAAGCAGATAAAGAGGAGGTTTAAAAAAGACTTCCATTTTCAGGGTTAAGCAGAAATTTAAGCTTCATTGATTAGCTAATTATTAGAAGCATCCTTAAAGGAAATCATTAAAGCTCTTCTGTGTCAGGTGAGTCAGACTGGGATATCAGATGTTCCTACAAGAATATGGAGTTTAGCCTTGACTTAGCTTAACATAAAGCAGAACTCTGATCTAGGTTACTTCCTTCCACCTATGTGAAATTCACACTAGTTTATTTCAGTTAACAGTATTTTTCAGTTGTTTCAACTTGTTTTTCAGGAATTCTGTGTGTTGTTTAACAGCTACAGAGTCTGAGATTCGTAGATTTGTTGCCAATGAGAAAACACATGTGCATGACTTACAGACTTTCACTTTCAAAGGATCTTGTAAATTCCTTTATTATATGAACTCGTTAGAAAACTATCATGTGACTATGGTTGTAATAGGGAAAGAGACACCAGATTTGGAATAGTGTGATGCATGCTCTTTTTTAACAAAAATCCCAAATATATCTCTTATGCAGACACTGCAGATGTGTTAATACAAAAAAAAAAAAAAGCATTTGTTTTATTGTGTTTATTAACTTATTTGTTTATTAACTTTTTTGCAGGTGTAAAAATTCTAGATAGCATTTCTGGAGATTAATTTAATTTAAAAGCCTATTTTACATTTTTCTACTGAAAATTCTGGGAGTTGCTGCTAGAAATAGCATCCCCTTTTTTTTCTTTGTTTGTGCTGCTAAAAACATTTAATAAAGTTTAATCTGCTCAATATTTGCAACCAAGCTGCAGTTTCAAAGGGAATTGTTGAATGCTACTTGCTAATGTCTTTTTTTCTCTTGTGGTTGAATTTCAGGTATTAGCAGGTCTGAACAAGAGGGCTTTTCAGTGTTTCAGCAGTGCTGTGAGGAAGTCTGAAGAGGAGGTGCAATCGCACTCTATGGAACATGTAGATGTTGCTGGAGTTATCGATTCATATATGACTTTGGTTGGTTTCTGTGACCAGCATCTGCGTAGGGAAGAAGAAGGCTTGCTTGGTAAGTCAGCACTTCCCCTGAGCGCATAAGGTGGATTTATCTGTGATACATCAGCTTTTGTGCTACCCAGGTCATCTCCCTAAGCATCACAGCTTTAATTTAGAAGAACAGTTTGTCCTTCACTCTGACAGCGTTTATACCCTTTTGCAGTATTACTGCTAGCTTCGGTACTAGTGAATTACTCATGTTAGTCTCCCTTTCACTTGTGAGGTATATATCACGTCAAGCAGATGCTTCCCTTGTTCCTTCCTGGACCCCAAGAGCAGGCGAGATACCAGCAGTGATGCAGCTTCCTGATAAAGCTAATCCTTACAGTCCCCAAATACATGTGTTACTGATTTATGCAGTTCAAACAGATGGGAAGAAGAACAAAGTAACAAGACAAAATATACTGAAAAAAAATACTGAATAGTAAAGACAAATGTTGTAGATGATCAAAGACATGGAACAAGTAATGGTGTTTCTGATATTTTTTCTTTAATGTCTCTTGGCAGAAATTAACACTGCAGATCTGCAGCTATTCCCAGCTATTGTGGTGGAAAAAATGATAAAAGCTTTAAAACTGAACTCCAGAGAAGCTAGGCTGAGATTTCCTAGGCTGCTGCAAATAATAGAAAGGTATCCAGCAGAGACGTTGGGTCTAGTGACACGAGAGGTTAGTTGCTTCCATTTTCCTGGCAGCAAACGTTACCATAAAGAGAATTTAAAAGGTGCAGGGCGGGAGTTGTATGGGTTAGACTGGTAAGTTTTGCTTCAAGTGAATCAGATGCATTTTATCTCATCATTGTTGCCTTGTCTTTTCTGTAAAGAATATGGACAGAAAAGTTTTTCTTAAAAACTGAAATTGCTGTCATTATTCTAATTCCAAATGTTAGTTTGAGAGCTGATGAAGAAAAGTTACAGTGCATTTTCTTTCTTCTGAATAATCTAAGTGGGTTGATAAAAGCAGGTAGGATTAGAGTGACAAATATATCTTATGTCTGTAGGTTGAGTTTCCTGTATGCAGGAACCTAGCAGCTTTTTCAGATTAATTTTCTACTTTTCCCACCTCTTCCTGTCCTGCTTCATTTCAGAGACTTACTAAAACTTCTTTATCCTTTGTTTTTCCCGCTTCCCCCTTCCATTGCCTTTTCCTTATTTCTTTTATATGTCAGGATGCCTTGTGCGACAATGCCTTCCCTTCTGTCACAAGACATAATCCTGCTTTTCTTATGACTGTTCCTGTCTTGGACTGCCTGTGTTTTCAAACCTGTTTCATTATCCTAGTACACGCACACAAGAGCGGCAGGCGCTATCAAAGGAAGAACTCAAAGGCACGAGAGAGATGGAAGTACAGCTTAGTTATTCAAGGCAACTGGAAGTACAGCTTAGTTATTCAAGGAAACTGAGAATATAGTTAAGAGGTGGAAAAGGTGTGACCGTGGTGAAACTCTGATTATTAGAACAGAACCTAATGCCTGGTCCAGCTAACAAACCTCGCCTAGAAAAGGAAAAAAAAATTCACCAGGCATTTCTTTGTCCTCTTCTCTCTCTGTGAGATAAATATGACAATTTATTCTTAAACCCCATTAAAAGGGCGGGAAGAAGTGAGTCAGGAAAAAGGGATTCTGGGTCTGGCCTCTTGCCTATCACAAGAAAATATGTTATAGATTTCCTTTCAAAAGTGGTACAGTTTTGGGGGGAAGGGGAGCATGGTGAAGACTGTGGGGAGTGCTCTACTGAAAGGGTTAATATCTGTTACCAAACAAAACAAACTGTTAAAAGTTGAAGGAAGAGCAAAACTGTGGTGGGAGTTCCAGTGTTCCCCTTCCCATTTCACTCACATCAAGACTTCAGCCCAATGAAGCTTGAAATACCTCTTGGCATTTTCAAGTTCGTATGTGATGGCCAGAAATTATTACATTGCATCCAGACAGAAATGCTGTAAGTTTGAGTATAAAGCTTCCCATCTTGATCAACAAATGGAAAAACCTACCAAGCAAAAATAACGATAATGAAACCCCTCTGCTTCACTGGGGGATGTTTTGTGCAACCTAGGTAACATTCTCTCTCTTCCTCCCTCCTCCCCGCCCCCCCCCCAATGCATTTCTGTCTGCTGACCTGAGACACAGAGCATTTTTATCTGTGTTTGCTTATATTTGGTATTTTTTAGGAGGACCAAAGTTGTAAGCACTGACCGTGTGTGCATTTTTGCAGCTTTCTTCAGTTCCCTGTTGGCAGTTCATTGGTTGGATTAGCCAGATGATGGCACTGCTTGACAAGGATGAAGCAATAGCTGTGCAGCATACTGTTGAAGAGATTGCAAATACCTATCCCCAGGCAATCATCTACCCTTTCATGATCAGCAGTGAAAGTTATTCTTTCAAAGATACTGTGACTGGCTGTAAGAACAAGGAGTTTGTAGAAAGGTGAATTTACAACCAGAATAATAGCTCTTTTGTATGTTTTTTGTTTGGGGATGCAGAGATTTGTTTGTTTGTTTTAAATAAACAATTTTCTGAAGGGAACATGAGAAACATTAGGGGGTAGTCCCATATGCACTAGGTTTTGATTTAAAGGCACAAGGAAAACTTGATATGTAATCTCTCTTTATGTTAGATGTAGTCAGATAGGTAGCCTGACTACTTTCAGAAGTGTTGAGTACCTACAATCCACAGGTAATGGAAAACCGGTGGTTTTTTTTTTTCTTTTCAAAGAAAACAAAAGACTATAGAGAGGCACCTCCTTTTTCCTCATAACGGTGTGGAGGTCAAGGTCTCCTCTTATTCATTCCCCTGCTCTGCTAAGGCTGAAGGGGAAGTCCAGCATATAGTTAGACTCATACTCTGTAATGTATATTTAGACTCTTCACAGTAGTTAGAATCAGTACCCATCAGAGATGAAGAGGAAGCTTGGACGTTTAGGATTTTTCTAATACTAAGAGAGAGCAGAGATGTTTAAGTATAATAGATGCTGCCTTCAGATATGAGGACCAGTGAAATGGATATCATGTGTGCTATCACACAGTGCTGTGGGACTATTAATATAATTTTAGGCGTCCCTTTGCCTTTTTTCCAATACATTTGCTGTATTTCTTAGATTGAAAGAAAAAAGTAAAGGTTTGTACTTGACAAACTTCATCACCCTTGAAGAACTGACGTGGTAATATCACATTTAGTCTCGTTAATGTCCATTACTGTTCCCCACCAAGCTGCTATTTTCATAGTGGGGCACTTAATTACCGAAAAAAATGGAAATGGCACAGAGAGGACAGCTAATGCTTTTAACAGCCCTGTGACCTGAGAGAAAATTCTGACCTGGTCCTCCTATCCATTAGCTCCCCAAAATTATTTAATCAAATGCTCTTGAATATAGCAGAGGATCTGGGTCCTTGCTTACCTGCAGATGAAGTGGTGATGGTAGTTCCTTGTTGCCTTGTGATGCTTTTTTTTCTTTCACAGGATCAAGAAAAAGCTAGACAGAGGAGGAGTAGTTCAAGATTTTGTTCACTCCCTGGAACAGCTCTCTAATCCCATGATGCTTTTTAAGGTAAAGTGGATTTTTCCCCCTTCCCTTTCCTTCCCTATCGTGTGTATTTACAAAAGAAAGTGCTGGGCAGAGCCAGCCAGCGTTACGCTGATACCGCAGCCACGGGAAGCATTTCAGCCCAAAATCTGTAGAAAACAACGTCAGGGTGCTCTCAACGGCTTTCACTCATTTCACTCGCTCATTTTTACCCCTTGGAGCAATTGGCTATTTTGCACCAGCCCTTTTAGCTTTCTCCTTCAAGGTCTCTGCCCTGTCCCTTGGTCAGTCTGTCTTCATTAATTATTCTGAAACTGTTATAGAATTATGGTTTGTGGCCATCTCCGAAATTTTTCTGTCTGCTTGTGTTCTTATGCCTTTTTCCCATGCCCTACTCGGTTTCTCTGTTAAGATTTTTGAACCCATTGTCCAAAGGATTCGCTTGTTTTGTGCGCAGCGTTGCTCCTAGTCCAACGGGGCCTTTCTTAATTTGCAATAGACGCTATCCTAATGAACATAATTATGCTAGTAAAATCAAAATGTTTTATTTAAAGACAGAATGAAAGGAAAATGCTCATAGCCTTTTGGTTGCTCTAGAATAATTCAGAAGACGCTTCAATTGGCTATTAGTAAAAACAGTAAACCGAATGCAATCTGCGCAGATTACCAAAGGGGTGAGGGTCAGTAAACTGTTTTTCTCAGTACCCATCTGTTTCCCTCTGTGTCTGCAGGATTGGACTGAGGATGTAAGAAATGAGTTGGTAAAAACTCAGAGGAATAAAAATAAACTTCAGGATATGTATGAAAGAATGTATAGGAATTTGGGAAATTTAGAAGCTCCTGGCCTTGGATTGCTGAGAAGAAGATTTATTCAGGTATGTGATAATTGAGTACCATTTGCAATGTATGCTTTTCTAGAAGGCGCTAGAAAATCATGGACCAGATCACAGCTTGACAGGTGCTGCAGGACTTGATTAAACAAGAGATCAAGTTAGGCCTCCAGGACTGGGATTTCCTTGCTAAAAGTTACAAAATTGTTACATTTCAGCTTCTATTTCTGACTGCCGCCCTGTGGACCTGAATGGTCCCACGTACGCAGCTGCTAGCTCCCCTTTCCTGTGCACTGTCAGATTCTCAGACAGACACAGGCCCGGGCCCTGTGAACCTGTACAGAAATCTGGCTTTGTTTTTATCCTGGTGCCAAGTACAATGTATCAGCCCTTCAGGGTGTTCTGCTGTTTTCTGATAGCAAACTTGCTGCTGATCCTAAGTTATTTAAGATATTCAGAAAAGTGGCAACTATGAAGAACTACAGAAAGGACTTCACAAAACTGAGAGAGTTCTAAAATAGTGAAAGTGAAGGAAAATGAAGTAGTGTACATGGCCAAAAAAGATCCTAATTTCACATAAAATTGTTTGAGTCTGAGCTTACTGTAACAGTTCAAGAACAAGATATTGGCTTCTGATTGCTCTGTGAAAAAATTAGCTGTGAATACTCAATAGCAATCAAGAAAGCAAAGCAACTGTTTTTATTAAATCCATGTTTTGTTCTCTCTTCTTATACATGGATATAGCAACCTTTCCTGGTCCTTGCCTCTTGAACACTGTGTAGTCCTAGTCTGCACTTCTCAACAAGAATATAATGGAGCTAGAAAAGGTTCACAGTGGCAAGAATAATTCCTCTGTACAAGGAACAAATTTAGGATCCTTCTAGTAGGAATAGATATCACGATGACAGATATAATAAAGCTCTTAACATCAGGAGTGCAAAGCAGGGAGTGCATACCCTATGGAAGTTTATCTTTTCAAATGCGTGAAGCACAGAGTCGCAAAGGACACTGATAAACGGCAGGTTCAAAACAAACAAGGAGGAAGTGGTTCTTCATATGCTGCACAGTTAAGCTTTGAACTCTTTCTCCAGAGTATTGCGGATGCTAGAAGCTTTCATAGGTTTGAATGGCAACTGTGGGGAAAATGCTTTGAGACCTTTGAAAACAAATGCACTGCTTCTAGGTCCAGATATCCCTGAGTTGCAAATTGCTGCAGGCCAGCAGAGCAGTACTTCTGTAGAAGTGTGGCTGTACGCTTGTCCCTTATGTTCATAGCACTGTGGCCTGGGCTAGGTGGACCCAAGTCTCTCCCATATGGCCATTCTTGTGTTGCATTAGCATTAGATAAACTTGTCCGAGTATCTCAAGAATTCCTGCCCTGTTCTTTCAGGTCTTGGTGGGGCAGAGAAGCAGAGGATGGCAAGAACCGGGGCTGGAGGGAGGGGAGAGGTGGTAGGGCAGCAGAAAGGGCAGTTAGGCGTTTATTGGCATATTAACCCTTCACGTGCCTTGCTGCATGGTAAGCTGGGGCTCTGATGAGAAACTTAAAACTGAGAATAAGAATTTGCAGAATGTGCCACAGTTAGGATGAGGGGTGGAAGGAGAGGGGGCCAGCTGTAGGGTGAGCCATTCAGGATACAGCCACCACAGCAAGGAAACCTAGCTGGCGTGGGGACAAAGGCAGTCTACTTTTGGGTGCTGGGACTGTTTGTGTGCACCTGGATCCACTTAAACAAGCAAAATCCGTAGGTCTCCAGTAAACTGCAATGTGTGCAGCAGCAGAGGATACTTGTTATCAGCAGAATGGGGAAAGAAGGGTGAGGGAGATGGTGGAAGAGGGGGGAGCAGGGTTATTTCCCCTCTATTGGACGGAAGAGGGAGATGAGTATTCCTTTTACGTGCTAACCGCTGCAGGAGAAGGTGGTCAGGATTATGGTGCACAGACTCTGATTTCTTTGCCTTCATGAGGTAATAGTAATGGAGTGTGTAGTAAGGCAGTAAGGATAGCGTGTAGTAAGGATAACTGCACAATTTCTGGTGTCCTTACTAGAAGAAAAGTTCAGTTTCTTCGTTGACTCATAAAATTGCCTTAATATGAAGAGTAATTCAGTTATATAATCTTTATAGCTTTTATTTATATAGTAGCATGTGTAAGTCTTACATATATTTTGAACATGAAATTCTAGTAATGCATAACTTAAACACTGTTGATGGGTTATATTCATTCAAATACGGTATTCAAGTTGTTATATATTTGTTGCCTTGAATTTTAAAGGAAGCCAAAGAACTGAACAGAGAAAACAACTGGATGATCACCTGGAGTCATATTTAAAGTGATAAAGATGTTGACTGTAGCAGTCTCTTCTTCAGAAAGATAATATTTTCTGTATCTTTATTTACTTCCGTTAAATGGCTGTGTCCTTCATAGCTTGGGGGAAAAATGATCAGGCACTGAAAAAGCAAGAGAGCTTACCTATCTTTTCCAAGCTGTTAATTCCAGTGAGGACCAGGAGATGTGCTTTTTGTAGAACTTTGAGTGTGAACAGGAAAAATCAATTCAGTTAACTACTAATATAGATAAGACTGCCTTTGTTTATTAGATAGGTCAATATCAAAATGCCTTTGCAGTTTTCCTTTGTCAGCATATTAAAAATACTTGTAAAATACAGTTTTATACATTTTTACATCCAAAATTATCTCAATGCAAATCAAGAATAATAAATCTGATAGCAAACAAAACATTGAAGTTAGCATTTTCTAATACTGATGCAAAAATTGAAATGAATATAGTAAGCTATATAACATTAAATATACATGTAATAGACCTTTTTGTTAGCAAAAAGAACCAACATTAGCTAGGCTGTAGTTGCTTACTATATAGCATGGTTACTGCTAGTTAAAAGAAACAACACCAAAAACCACACCTTCCATAAAGCAGAGTATGCAAAATTTTAGGGAGGAAAAAAGGTTAATTAACTTATCCTGATATACTTATTTAACCATTGGTAAATTAAATAGTTGAGGGTTTTTCTTTTGTGTTATTGGGCTATCCATGATGTAGCATATACACGCCAAGAGTCAGAAGAGCCACTGAAATGGCTGCAGCAATTTGGAAGTGTGATAACATGTAAAGATCGGGGCATCAATTACAGATCCTAGTAATAATCCTACATTTAGCTTCATGATGGAATTTGTATTTATTTAATAGGTACAAATACTAATATTTCACTAGCTGTCCTGATATTTTTGTAAGGGGATGAGGAACCTTCTTTAAGTTTAATAAGCAGCATTATTGATATGCTCATCCAGAGTCCAGCTGCAGCTAGAGGAGGAGCTTCTCTTTTTAATATGACAAAAATGTTTCTGATCTAATTCTACAGTATAAGAAAATCTTTGATATCATTTGGATTGGTAAAATGTAGATATTTCTGTTGATACTAGTTGGTGGTTCAACCAAACAGACAATGAAAAGGTTCTGACAGACTAGAAATAATGGAGAAAAAAAAGAACTGGACTGGAAGGAAGACTGAGATATCTTAGGCGGACAGATGAAACTTATATATAAATAGGAACCTGAAAGCCAGAGCAATAGCAGTATCCTACGTCATGCTAGTACATAAACCTATTAATTTGCCTTCTATAGACGTTTGTAATTGCATGTTTCTACATAGCGCTCCTAAGTATTAACGTGCCTAAAACATTGTCTGTTTTGAATGGAAACTCTCTGGAGCAAGTACTATTTTAATGTTCTTGGGGAGAATACTGTGTTAACAAGATTCTTTTCTCTAAATGAACTTCAGGCTTTTGGGAAGGACTTTGACCATCAATTTGGAAAACGTGGTTCAAAACTGCTGAATATGAAGGCTAGTGATTTTGATGCGATTACAAGTGCCCTCCTCTCAAAAATGACCAAAAGCCATAAAGAACCTGGAAACCTGAAAGAATGTTCACCATGGATGAGTGAATTCAAAGCTGAGTTCTTGAGGAACGAAATAGAGGTTCCTGGTAAGTTTCCTTTCAGTGTTGACAGTCATCTGTGTTTTACAAGAAGGTTGCTGTTCTTCTCATGTTGGCTTTATGGCCCTTCATTTTGACCTTACACAGAAGTAGATTTCATCTGAAATACCTGTATTTATTCATCATCTCTTAAATCTATTCTTGAGCTGTATTCCTGATGTGATTTTAAAAATTGCATCTCTTAAAAATATTAAGTTTTTAGGGGAAATGCTTCATTTCAGGAAATCTGATCAACAAGGGTGTATCCTCTGAAACCATGAAAAGCTGCAAATCTAAGAGCTTACGAAAGAAAGAACATTAGTAATTCAAAGATAAAATCATACGATATGTATGATGTGTTCTCCTGTATTTTTAAATATTTTCTTCTGAGTTACCATTCTACCAATTTGACAAAATATTTGGAAGAATGTTCTGTTATTGAATAAACTTTAAAAAAAAGACATATTTAAAATCAGACTCTCTAACTTTTGTTTTTTTTCTCCGCCACTTCAGGTCAATATGATGGTAAAGGGAAACCACTGCCAGAATACCACGTGAGAATATCTGGATTTGATGAACGGGTATACTTATAAGTTTGAGTCAAAAACCTGTTTGGTATAAATTTGTGTCCACATACTGTTTGGAGAATTTGACAGTAGAAGAGTCGTTGCCAGGCTTGCATCCTGGGGCACACAAAGGAGTTTCTGTGAAACCGCTTTTTTTTCCTAGCGGTAACTGAACAATGTGATTATGCCATGTAGGAATACCAAACATGCTTAGTTTCAGTGATGATTCCATAACACAAATTTTTGACAAAAATATTTTGCTTGTTCCTGTCTTCCAAGATAAAAGTAATGGAATCCATGAGGAAACCAAAACGTATAACAATCCGCGGCAGTGATGAGCAGGAGTATCCTTTTCTCGTCAAAGGTGGTGAAGACCTGAGGCAAGACCAACGCATTGAACAGCTTTTTGATGTAATGAACATTATTCTTTCCCAAGATGCTGCCTGTAGCCAGAGGAATATGCAGTTAAAAACTTACCAGGTCATACCCATGACAACAAGGTAGGAATTTATCTTGAGGGACAGAAATTCTTATTTCAACATTTATTATTGTTGGAAAGTGAGATTTCTGAGAGTGTTCTAGCACTCTGGCTTAATATATATATATACTTTTTTCTGAGTGTATCTAAATTGGTAGCTTTAAACTTTCTTGTAGCAGGTACCAGAAGATATTGCTCCTATTTGCATTGCTCTTCTGCAGTTCACCGCTGAGCTCCTTGTTCACGTCTCTGATTTCTTTTGTTCCAGGCTGGGACTCATCAAGTGGCTGGAAAATACCTGTACTTTAAAAGAATTCCTTAAAAATAGCATGTCTGAAGAGGAAGACTTTAACTATAGCAGGTGGTGCTTGGTTTACCTGTCTGCTGTAATAGAGACCACGACTATTGGGTTTCTCATGATACTGATGATCTTGTGGCAGCAGTTTCGTTTTTTTTTTTTTTTTTTGTAATGAAAGAAAAGTACCAAAGTGCAGGGAGGCACTTTGTACTTCCTGACCCAAATTAGTAATTGGCAACTGTTTGTTTAATGAGTACCATTGTACCTGTAATATCCTCCACCCAGCTTGTTTGAACAAGAGGCTTATAATCATGTGTGACGTCATTATCATCACCATTTCCTTATCAGCAGATCGATTTTACAAGCAAAGGATTTTGATCTCGATTTGATCAGGCAGGAAATGGACGTAGGTCAGTGAGAGGGGGACAGAAGGGGAGGGGAGCAGAGGCAGAGCTATTTAGTTACTCTATGTTCAGCAGTGAGTCATGACCGAGGAAACTTGCAGCAGATGCACAGAATACATCTCTAGAAGAATACTGTCTTTGACTTTGTGCAAAGGCTGGATTTGAATAAATTAACTTTCTATCTCTTGATCATTTGTAATTGAGGGATGAATATCTGTAAAATTGATTAAGCCTAATGTTTCAGCTTATTTGCATCCTGGAATTGAGAAATAGGGTTTCATTTACCAACTTTGTCCCTAGTATGTAACTCTGGGCTTGTCTAAGTGTTGTGGACACTTTATTTTTACTAGTTCTCTTGCTTCTAGGCCAGGCTGGAGGAAGCAAGTCGTAAACTAAAACTTACATTTGGTGAGGACAGACTTGTCCTGCAGACTTGAGGCCTTTTCTGGGACATGAACTATGCATAAAAGAGAGTGCAAAAACCTTTCAACTATGTCCAAAGAATCATTCTTTCTACAGTTATTTGATTATTGGTCAAGCAGGAACGGCTACAGTTCCTTCATTACTGATATCTAGTTCACTTTTGTGATATTACTAGACAACAATGGCATTATGTTGATTCCACTTGAATTAGTGGAAAAGTGTGAGAGGACTTACATGGAACCATTACATAAGTGGGGTGGTGCTAGTATACTTAATTTAGAAGATCGGTGTTTTTCTAAAAACAATTAATAATTTATACTATGGTATAGTTGTATATGTTGTATTGTTGTTATATAGAGCCTTCAAATATTTTCCCACACCTGCGTCAGTCAAGTCAACGTAGACGTTTTACACTGAGCTATGGTTGAATAACAGCTCTCCCAAAAAAATTCTAACAAAATTCCTACTAGCAATAGTTTGGTTGCAGTGGTAGGGAATAACCTTCTGAAGTTTTGGAATGCTTTGCTTTCTGCAAAAGTGATAGGCTACACAGTCTATAAATGATAATTAATACCTCTTAAATGGAAAGAGTTTTTAGCTTTGAAAAGGGGAGAAAAGAGTGCTTTACTATCTCTCTTCTCAAGACAGCTTTTAATTCTCACAGTACCTTTTAGAAATTAATATCTTTGAGACATCTGATCCTCTTTCAGGTATGACTGAAATACATTCAAGAGTTGAGGGGAAGGAGATAGGTGGCTGGATGAGCACATGCATTGACACATAAATTTCACTTCCATTGCAAGCTAGGCTAAAATTAATATTGGCTGTAGCTTTTTCACACCTTCTGTGTATAAAATTCTCATGGGTCATAGCAGCGCACACTCAACCTGCAGATATTTGAGGACAGAGTGGTAAGATAATACAGAGAAGTCATCAGTCCTGTTCTTTGTCCCTAGCAAAAAAGGACCTCGTGCTACCTATAATGAGTGGCTGTCCAAGATGGGTGGGAAAGCACAAGGCGTCCCTCGATACCACGTTATGTACAGGTAGGTTTTAAAATAGAACTACACATAAATTACAGAAATTAGACACACACAGACTTACAGAGGTTCCAGGGAAAAATATCTGCGTTATAATATGCTGGCGAGATTTTATTTTTGCCCATTTTGCCATTTTGTCTTACTCAAGATGCTCTGCAGGAGTAGTTTAGTATTGATGAAATCCCACCAGAACGCAGGTATGCTTCCACAAGCTTCCTTATCATCTTAATATTAAGTGTCTAGAAGATGCTCCTCTTCAACTTTATTTTCTAGGTGTCTTGTTTCTGATTATGCAGCTGGGTAGGCTGCCCTGGAGCCAGAGCACCTACAAAAGTTGGACAAAGAATGTAATTGTGATTCTTGATAACTTGATAATTCTGATAACTTGAAAATATTTGATGGTTTGGGTCCCAACTTCAGAATCCTCTCCAAGGAATTTCCATACCTGCCCAGATCTAATGCTGTAGTGGTAGAAGTGAAGTTTCCAGTTGAGCATTTTTGAGGAGGTCATAATCTGCTTAAAGAAGCTTGTGGGTTTTTTGTTTTTTTTCTTTTATTTTTTAAGGGACAATTTTTGACTTGTTCATCTGAGTGTGTCTACATTAATTTTTTTATTCAGATCAGGAATGTGTGTCACCAGTCACCCTACTTAGCTCATGCTGGTTTGCATTGCAGAGCTGTCCTTGAATGCACAACCCAGTTCCTTTCTGATGAAACTAAACTGCAAGAAGCGCACCCAGTGCATGCCAGCTGCTCATGAGCATTCGGTTCACAGGACCAGACATGGGCTGGCTAGTCCAAAGTAACCCCATGCAAAATGTGTGTGGCATGGATGTCCTCAGCACCAGCTCTTCAGTTGTGTTGCCTCCTCTTATGCTGCACTACTTTCTTGTGTAAATATAGCCTCTGCATTTTGCTGAGAGATTTAACACTGCACTTAAGTTTCTTTGCACGAAAGAGACTATCCAGGCAGAATAAACAAAACGGTATCTCTGTATTAAAACTTATCCCATCTACTTAACTTGGGGGAAACTAGACAAAACCGCATAATGTGTTGTATTAAGAAATGTCAGTCTTGGAGATAACTGCTTGGAAAAAGGGAAGGGGATTTATTTTTAATATCAAACAAAACTTTATTGCCTTTTTTTTAGTGATTTTGGGCAAACTCTGTACGGCTTGCTGTACTGTCACAAGTAAACAGCACATGCAAATGCACCCACGTACACATCTAAACTTTTAACATCCTTTGGGCAATTTCAGTAGCTGACACTATTCTTTCATTAATTCACAGAAATGCTAACCGTACAGAAACAGTGATGTCTTTCAAAAGCAGAGAAAGCAGTGTTCCAGAAGACCTGCTCCGGTAAATACACCGTTAATGACTGTATATTGTGAAGTGAATGTTGATGTTTTGCTTGTATGCAACAAGTGACTTTTGTTTTGTTAAGGAGAGCCTTCGTTAAAATGAGTACGGCTCCAGAAGCCTTCCTGTCTCTGCGGTCCCATTTTGCCAGCTCTCATGCATTGATGTGCATCAGCCACTGGATACTTGGTATTGGAGACAGACATCTGTCCAACTTCATGATTAACAAAGAGACTGGTGGCATGGTGGGAATAGATTTTGGACATGCATTTGGCTCAGCTACGCAGGTATTTCTCCTCTATGTAGTTTGTTACAGCTTTTGCATATACTATATGCAGTTAGAAGTATGTTCTCTGTAGTGAACTCTGCTTATTTGCCATCGTTCTGATGCAAAATAATCTTTACAAGTTATTTCTAGTTAATAGAATAGAATCTCTGTTTCCCGATATTCTCAGGAAAGCGGGGAGCTATAGAACTTCTTATTGAAGGGACAGGGAATAAAAATGGTCCTGTTCTATTGAGTGCCACATTATTTTGAGTTAAGTAACAAACAGAGTTTCAAAATTGTAAAGAATTATTATTTTCTCTAATCCTTCTGTTCCACAGTTTCTTAATTCTTGGGGGTTTTGTTTTTTGGTTTTTGTGTTTTTTCCACGGACTTTCCTCTTGTTTAGTTTTTGCCTGTGCCAGAGTTGATGCCTTTTCGTCTGACTCGCCAGTTTGTTAATCTGATGATGCCAGTGAAAGAGTGGGGTCTCATTTACAGCGTGATGGTACATGCCCTGAGAGCTTATCGTGCAGATCCAGATCTCCTCATCAGCACAATGGATGTATTTGTAAAAGAACCTTCTTTAGACTGGAAGGTGGGTACTTTCCTTTTCCCTTTTTGTTCATGTAAAAAATCCTTATACTGCAATAAGGATAAAACTGATCAAAAATGAAGTATTTTGTGATGCTGCCTTAGTGCTGCTTTCATCTTTGCTTGTTTTATTGAGTTCCGAGTGAAAATGGGCTTAAAGCGCTAGAATTCTATAATCATGATGAGGGTTGAAGAATAGTAGCACGTGTCTGTTATTAGTGTACTGCTCTTTACGTCCACGATAATCCTAAAAATGTGGATATATTTTGATCATAATATATCATTTATGACAGCAACATAAATATTTTCAACTTTTTGCATTGAGCTGCTAAAATTTACATAACAACACTGTACACTTCAAACTAATAATTAGAGAGAAAAAAATCTAAAACTAGTTGTGCCTAAGTAACCGTAAATTAAATTTGAAGTCACAGGCAGGATTAGGTATCAACTCACTAGTTTGTCCTCCATTGCATCTGCAGTTAAGAGTTCTTGGCTTGACTTGCTATGATTGTTTTTAAAGGGTTTTTTTTTTTTTTTTTTAAGTCTATGATTTATGATAAATAGGGCAAAATTGTTTTCTCCTTAGAACTTTGAACAGAGGCAGCTGAAAAAAGGAGGTACATGGATTCAGGAAATAAACACATCTGAAGTAAACTGGTACCCTTTGCAAAAAGTCAGCTATGTCAAAAGAAAGCTTACAGGTTGCAATCCAGGAAGAATCACTTGGTAAGATACTCTCCTTTTACTTAAAACTCCTCCACTATGAACTTTTGCTGCCTCTTGTGTCAGATTTTGCTCCCTTCAGACAGACTAGCAGCTAGGAAAGAGAAGAGGCAGGCAGGGCAGAATTGCAACAAACCTCCTCAGAGAATCATTTTGGTGCACATACAAGCTCTCTGAATCACCTTGCCAGCCAAAATACCACATATCTCCCTGTGAGTGTTCTTGCTCCAGCTCAGGACTCCTAGGCATTTTTACACTTCCTGGCAACCCACATATCCCCACCCTGTAAGCCTGCTTAATTTCTCACTGCTCAAACTGCTGTTCTTTATACTCTTCTACACAGCTTTTAGGCTAAGGGTAGTATTTGAAAAGATATGCCTCTGCTGGACGGTTGCTTGAAATGGAACCTGAAACAGCTTTATGGGAGACAGGGAAGTAAGCTGCTTTCCAAAAACATCAAATTCAATTCTGATGGCCTTCTGTCAGTCTAGGCAAGTCTGGCTCCAGCCAGAGTATCTTTAAAGTTCAGTTAAAGTACAATTAATCCCTTCTATCCTCTGAAAAAGATATTTTGGATTAATCAGAGAGGAGAAAAAAAAAAAGGAAAGAAAGCAAGGAGAAAGCAAGAAAATAAGCCTATTTTAAAACTATACAAATACTGAGAAGTGCAGGACTCCGGAGGAGTCCTTTGTGCTGTCAAGGCTGCACTGGAAAAGGCAGCACAATACACGCATATACAAATGTGCAGGGCAGGTATGGATATAAAACAGCTTGGATGTGAACTGCTGCAGCCTTTTTTTCAGTTAGAGACTCTTGTCTAAACAGAAATATTCATGGTAAATACTCATTAGTGAAGGACACCTGAAATCACCAGAGAGGGCCAGGCCTTCTAAAACTATTGAACAGCTTCCAGATGCCTTGAAAAATAAAGCTGCATGCGTGATGTTCAAGTACCCTTTCACGCTTAAGAATTCATACCTCAGATTTTTTTGTTTGTTTGAATAAGAACTTATTTTTCTGTTCTCCATTTTAGTGATGAACTACGTCTGGGCCATGAGAAGTCACCTTTTTTCAGCGATTTTGTAGCTGTGGCTCGTGGTAACGCTGCTCATAATACCAGAGCCAAAGAACCAGAGGATGGACTTTCGGAAGAGACCCAAGTGAAATGTCTCATTGATCAAGCCACAGACCCCAACATTCTGGGCAGAGCCTGGGAGGGATGGGAACCCTGGATGTGAGGATTACTTTCTAAAAGCCCGTTCCGTCAAGTGGCGCATGCTCTAACATACAGCTGTGGCTAGATCAGAATTTCAGGGCCAAAAAGAGAAAACCACTTAATTTATGCTTTTATCAACAAGGTTAACTTAATTAATATCAGAAATAAGTGTTTTATATTAAAGCTGTATTCAAACAGCAATTTGTTAATATGGCCTTGGAACAAAACAGCTGTTATGTCTTTGTATTAAAGTCATGAGAGGAATATGGTAGCTCTGCTCAAAAGAGAGAACTGGAGAGGTTAGAGCTTTAAGGGTAATTTGAAAGGCACTGAAATCATTCGGAGGAGAGCACAAATCAGTTTGCACCATTCTGCAGGCATATGTTATTTGCAATTAAAACTAAAAGATTTTCCTATCAAGAGAAAGAATGAAGCACATAGTGAAATTAAACAGAAAATGGCTTTTGGCTATAGGTAATACCTAAGGTATCTTTGGATGGTTATTTCAGTGTTGGATAATGGAAAAAGTAGCAACGAGAAGCTAATGCCAGTTTGTTCCAGCAGATTGTTGTTTTTTTTTTTTAACGATTAGAGGTTTTAATCTGTTATCTCTATACTCTAGATGGTTATACTCATCATGTTATATTAATTGAAAATTACTTGTTTGGCCAAAGCTGAAAATAGGCATTTGCAATGAATACGTGAAAATAGGCGTACTGCAATAGACAGCAGGGCAGTGTGTTGTAAGCTTCCTGCCATAACTGCAGCAGAGCAGACTGTCTATTGCACTTTGGTATTTGCTTATGACAAAGTTTAGAAGCTGTCCCAGACTGGGATCTTAATCTCTGGCAGCCAGTTTTCCGGTAACCTTTGTGGCAAATAGCGCGTAGCAGGGAAAGCCAGGGGGAAAAATATTTCTCTAAAATGTTACGGCTGTTTATTACCCAGAATTCATTGTAAAAGATATTTTCCATGGATGCTTTTAATAATTATCACAAAAGCTATAATAAAAATGAGTCTTTACCCTTTCGCTGTCTGCAAGCTTTCCCTCCTGTCTCTGTGGTAATGCAAGAGTCTCGATTTTGTTTAGGGCTGCATTTACAGCTGCCTCTCTGGCACCCATTTCCAATGAATGTTTCAGCAGAAGACCAGAGGACCCTCAGTATCCTGGATGAAAGTCTGTAATAAACTTAAGATTGAGAAGATTGCAAGCTGAAGCCTAAAGAACAGGGAGGGAGCTGTTCAGTAGTGTCTTTGTTTCAAATACCCTCCAGCAACAATTACTATTTGTCATCTTCCCTCTCACTAAATATGCTCAATTGACACTCTTTATACTGGTCAAATTTGTATTGGTTATGTCAATAATCTAGTGTTATGATGAATTAAGAAATTCAGATTCTTTTATGAGATTTTATTAATTCAAAATATTGTACAGCTATATTTTTGTAGAGAAAATTCCTATCATTCCAGGTAAGACCTCATCTTTGTAAAAATAAAAAAAAAATCCTTCAGCTGCTTACCTCATTTCAAAAGTGAATTAACACTTTACTCACTCAAAACATCCAGATTTACCTATCTATGTCAGTGATAGTAAATAGAAAGGGTTTTTTTCATAAAAATGGGCAGTATGTATTTTTATATACACCTGCCTGTGTAATATGCCTGAATAAATGTATTTTCTTCATCTCTGAAATCAATAAAGAAGGTGACATTACAACTAAAGATTGGTTATGTGGAGGCAGCCTAGCTTATGAGTTGTCACACTGCAAGAAAGTTAAAGCACAATAAAAAGCTACATGAAATGGTGAGGTGACATTTAGAAATCAAGTGGCTGGTCATACGAGGTGTTAAATTGCACTTTTGGCACATACCTCAGATATTTACTGAGTACTTTGACCTGTACCATGGGGGACAAAGTTTAGGTTTATAGTTTAACAAGGCTCTTCATGTAGGACTTTTGATACTTTCAGCAACAACAGAATTTTCTGCTCCCCCAGCTCAGGCTGCTCCGCAGGCCTCGCTCCAAAACAAAACAAAGGTTCCTCAGCTCTTCAGAAGGGGCTGGAATGTGGAGTGGGACTTAAGCACAAGCACAGCCTGCTTCTTTCAGGTGAGAGAGACTGTAATGAATGCTGAGCTGTTTTCTGCCTTCCCTTCAGTCAATACTGAAAGGCTCTCAGGCCAGGTTTGAAAGCCTTTGAGATACATGAAAGCAACCGTAGCTATACTAAAAGCTTATACCATGTCTACAACACTTAAAATATTCTTTTGGGAAATCCTGTGCAAGGTTGAGAGTGGTATAGTTAAAAAGTTTATTTTTAGCCTTAAAATAAGTGCTATAATTTGAAGCCACAGCCACATCAGTGATATTAGTGATATATGTGTCAACCTCACAATTCACCAGAAAACTATGACATTAGCGGAAACACTTCTTATACAAAGTCAATGATATTACCCTTATGGAGGAGTAAAAGACCAGACTGTCTCTGTGTAGCTAAGTCTGAAAATGATCTCCAACATATGTAAATTCCAGCTGCCATCCACTGTCCCGACTTACAGTTCTCTAAATAAAATACGCAAGTTAAATGCAAAGACAAAAGTCAACCCATGAAACAGCAAGGAAAGTACTGATGCAATAATAATTTAAAAAAAAAAAAATCTCAATTATTAAGTTGCTGGGGTCTGTGCTCTATGGAGTGGTTTTGTTTTGTTTCCAGAAAAGGGTACGATGATGGGTGGCTCAAAGTAAGAGACTGTTTCAGGTCTCATGATGCAAAACAAAACTCATGGACTAGCCACAAGTACAGCAGAGTATTTCCTTCTCAGAATAAATAACCAGATGCAGCTTTTATCTGGAAATTCACTACTCCCATCTAAAAAGCTACATATACCATATACTGATTATATGGTTTATCAGTATAATCAGTAGTTTTTTTCATGATAGGTTTTTCAGGTTGGTACATGGAAAAATTAATCCGTAAGTTCAGCAGCTCCAGGTGCAGTTAAACGAATCTACCATGAACTGACGTTGGCATGGTTCAAATACCCCACAGTGAGTCACAGCAGAGTTTAAAAGAGCTAAAAAGAAAAAATATATATATCCCTTAATTTACAGACAGTTTCTTCAGCTGCTAACAGTGGTGTAGCCACAGGCCAAATTAGTACAAGGGACTGATCCAAGTGAGTATAAATAAAAAGCAAAATACTACTAAAGCTCCAAGATGAGGGAGGGGGCATGAACCCTGGAAGAGATGGGAAGAAGTTGAAGAGAGGACACATTCAGTAGTTGCTGTGCTGGTTCAGGGGAGCCAACACCAAACTCAGAAGATGTGCTGGCCGATCCTTGGTCGGGGGGGGGGGGGGGGGGGGTCCTCCCTCCCAAAGAAATTGCATCTCCCCACCCAGATATCCCAGTTTAAAGTCAGTCTCAAGCCACTGCAAAACATTTTTCCACAGGGTGCTCTGCATCTTCTCTCTTCTTAGATGGATGTTGTCACCACGGAGCCAGCCTTTCCCCACAAAACCAGGTGCCTTGAGGTACTTCCCCTTGATAGCATGTCCCTCCTGCAACGCAGCTCTGTCGCTGCCCTACCGCAACGGATGTAGCCAGGATTCCCCAGGGAAAGTCGGAGCTCTCACTGCCATTATCACTGCAAGCCCAGATAAGGGCACCAAGGACTCTCCAGCACAAGCACAGATTTGGTCAAGTTCCTGATCCTTCTCATGGGTTCAGAGCTGGGAACTCCAGAGTAATTTAAAGCTCTGTCCTTTCTCTCTAGAAAATTTATTATAATAAGCCCAGTGACTAGCCACTCACCTGGAAGACACAAGCTCCAGGTTTAAACTCCTCTTCACTTGATTTAGATAAATAACAACGTTTATTATAGAAAACATTTTGAAATTCGGATGTTCAAAATATTTCTTACTGCTGTTTTAAAACTCACTGAAAGCAGCACTGAATCAGTGGTTCAGATACCCAACAGGACGGGTAAGGGAGTTAAGTTCGCATCTCTTCTTCACTGTCTATGAGATTGTTTCAGCAAACAGGAACAGGTTCAGTTTCCAAGATTTCAGATGAATCTATCTCACAGAGCCAGGCTATATTTCCACCTTTAGTCAGGCACTTTGACAAGCAACAAGTATCACTCACTCACACGTTCCTGGTTGCTTCACTGGAGATGCACTAAAACCCCACTACTTGAGGCAGCGCATGGCACAGGGAGGACCCGCACAGAAACACTGTCCTAACTCTGATCTAAACTAGACTGAGCAATAAAGACAAGAAATACAAGTTCCACGTTGCCCCCTCTCACCATTTGGCTTTGGGTGACAGCACGTGGCTACAATTTTGCCAAACTCTGAACGTGCTTCCTAGGTCTTGAAGGCAAGGTAAGCAAATTGGCACTCCATCTGTGGCCCATGCTGGGGTTTTGATATGATACAGGTGGCAGATGTTGAGGTTTACACAGGATTTTTTTTTTCCTCCATGCCCAGCAGTATACAGTTCAGTGACAGATTTTTGAGAATCTAAATGCTGCATTATGGTGCCCAAAGTGGCTGTTAGATGACTAAGCAGAGTCCTTGCTGTGAATCTGGTCTCTTTTTTGTGTTAATATGTGACTGATATCAAAGGAGATTGTTTGGGCTGGCAGAGCTCCACTCCAACATCACCGTATGACCAGTTCGCCTCTGGTGATAAGAACTTCAGTGAGCTGAAAACGTGATGCAGTTCTAAGTACAAACAATTAATTGAGATACTTTCCAAGATAAATTATAATTTTATAGCTATGACAGCTGAGAAGCATTTCCTTCCAGCAGATCAGCGGACCCTGTCACAGAGAGGGGAGGAGAACAGGTCTCAAACTGCCTTGCATTTCTAAGCACCAGCCTGTTTCATGCACCTACCTCTGTCCACTATCGGCAAAGAAAAAAAAAAAAAAAGGTCCAGGAGCACTGGGTGACAACTGCACTTACCTGACAGAAAGCTAAGCCAAAAGCAGGGTGGTACAGAGTCATGCAGCATGAATATACTGTAATGCCAGAGGACAGAAAATAACAACCTATGGAATTGGATTTTGGCATACTATTTCTCATAGCTGGGGAAAAAGGAAAAAAGTTGTTTGCACCAAAAAAAAATGCAACCACGTACTGTGTCACAAATCTTAACAGTCATGTAAATCAAGTCCCTGAACAGACCGTTCATTTAAACACAGAGTTTCTGTAGATTTAACTAACTGCAGCACTACAGTTAAAGGAAAAACAAAACCCCTACCTACATGCAAAACCTTACCTGCCCGACAGGTACAGTTGTTTCAATGTCATAAGCATTCACACCAAGAGATTTCTGCCAAAAAAAAAAAAAAAAGAGTATATACCAGACCTGTGCCAACAATTTAAGTTGAAATACACACTCCTTTGACAAACAGCTGCATTACTGCAATAACCCAAGTAAGGCAGCAAGCGCTGCCGCACAGGTGCGGACATACGGAGTTGCCCACCTGTAATCCCCAGCAGTCCACCCCCGATCAGCCCCACACTCTGCAGGTCGCACCTTAACACTGGTAACATCACGCAAAAAGGGTCAGCTGAAAAGTCAGCAGCTACGATAACCTTACTGAATCACAATAAATTTAGCTACGCCTTCTGAAAAAAATCTCAAGTAGACTTTTTGTAAGTTTTCGTTTCTCTCCATTCAGGCTGTGGAGTATCTGGCTACATACCTGGGCTTTCAAAACTGTTTTAGGTAACTGCAGAAGTTAATATTTCACATATTTTAAGTTAAATTATTTTCGCTTCTCTGATACTTGCTAATTTAATAGTAGTTATTTACTGCAAGTAACAAGAGACTATAGTTTTTAAGAAGACTTAGCTTTACAGAGACACTAGGGAACGTGAAGCTGCGCGGCTAAAGGCAGGTTTAAGCCCCTTTTCCTACCTGCACACGCTGCGAGGGACAGTCCAGGCCAGCTCCCTGCCGCCAGGGGATTTCCCAGCCCTACCGCTGCCGGCGCAGCGCG